GACCAAAGAGCCAGAGCTCAACCCCCGCAAACACAACTAGGTGAGTACAACTAGGTGAGTACACACACACACACACACACACACACACACACACACACACACACACACACACACACACACACACACACACACACACACACACACACACACACACACACACACACACACACACACACACACACACACACACACACACACACACACACACACACATGGCGCCGGCAGAGACAAATGGGTAGAGTTTCTTGCACCCTGATGCTCCTGTTACCTAGCAGTAAATAGGTACCTGGGAGTTAGACAGCTGTTACGGGCTGCTTCCTGTGTGTGTGTGTGTTTGGGGGAAAAAAAAGTTGAATGTCAGTTGAGAGGCGGGCCGAAAGAGACAGAGCTCAACCCCAGCAAGCATAACTCGCGAGCCTATTGGGCTCTATCATATCTACATTATAAACTGTGTATGGAGTCAGCCTCCACCACATCACTGCCTAATGCATTCCACTTGTTAACTCTGACACTGAAAAAGTTCTTTCCAACGTCTCTGTGGCTCATTTGGGTACTCAGCTTCCACCTGTGTCCCCTTGTGCGTGTGCCACCCGTGTTAAATAATCTATTATCGTCTACCCTGTCAATTCATTACTCTGGGTAGAGTTTTGGGAACGATTTCCAGGAGGTCATGAGATTCACGCCTCCAGGAAGAAAGTCTTTTCAGCCTTGTGGAGGTCTATATTGTGGAGGTTTATAATGTGGAGGCCAGCGGTGTGGAGGCCAGCAGTGTGGAGGCCAGCGGTGTGGAAGCCAGCAGTGTGGAGGCCAGCGGTGTGGAAGCCAGCAGTGTGGAGGCCAGCAGTGTGGGAGCCAGCGGTGTGGAGGCCAGCGGTGTGGAGGCCAGCAGTGTGGAGGCCAGCGGTGTGGAGGCCAGCGGTGTGGAGGCCAGCAGTGTGGAGGCCAGCAGTGTGGAGGCCAGCAGTGTGGAGGCCAGCAGTGTGGAGGCCAGCAGTGTGGAAGCCAGCAGTGTGGAGGCCAGCAGTGTGGAGGCCAGCGGTGTGGAGGCTAGCGGTGTGGAGGCCAGCAGTGTGGAGGCCAGCAGTGTGGGAGCCAGCAGTGTGGAGGCCAGCAGTGTGGAGGCCAGCGGTGTGGAGGCCAGCGGTGTGGGAGCCAGCAGTGTGGAGGCCAGCAGTGTGGAGGCCAGCAGTGTGGAGGCCAGCGGTGTGGAGGCCAGCAGTGTGGAGGCCAGCGGTGTGGAGGCCAGCAGTGTGGAGGCCAGCAGTGTGGGAGCCAGCGGTGTGGAGGCCAGCGGTGTGGAGGCCAGCAGTGTGGAGGCCAGTAGTGTGGGAGCCAGCGGTGTGGAGGCCAGCGGTGTGGAGGCCAGCAGTGTGGAGGCCAGCAGTGTGGAGGCCAGCAGTGTGGAGGCCAGCAGTGTGGAGGCCAGCGGTGTGGAGGCCAGCGGTGGGGAGGCCTTGGAGGCCAGCAGTGTGGAGGCCAGCGGTGTGGGGGCTAGCAGTGTGGAGGCCTTGGAGGCCAGCAGTGTGGAGGCCTTGGAGGCCAGCAGTGTGGAGGCCTTGGAGGCCAGCAGTGTGGAGGCCTTGGAGGCCAGCAGTGTGGGAGCCAGCAGTGTGGAGGCCAGCAGTGTGGAGGCCTTGGAGGCCAGCAGTGTGGAGGCCTTGGAGGCCAGCAGTGTGGGAGCCAGCAGTGTGGAGGCCAGCAGTGTGGGAGCCAGCAGTGTGGAGGCCAGCAGTGAGAAGGCCAGCAGTGTGGAGGCCAGCAGTGTGGAGGCCAGCAGTGTGGAGGCCAGCAGTGTGGAGGCCAGCAGTGTCGAGGCCAGCCGTGTGGAGGCCAGCGGTGTGGATGCCAGCAGTGTGGAGGCCAGCGGTGTGGAGGCCAGCAGTGTGGAGGCCAGCAGTGTGGAGGCCAGCAGTGCGGAGGCCAGCGGTGTGGAGGCCAGTGGTGTGGAGGCCAGTGGTGTGGAGGCCAGCGGTGTGGAGGCCAGCAGTGTGGAGGCCAGCAGTGTGGAGGCCAGCGGTGTGGAGGCCAGCGGTGTGGAGGCCAGCGGTGTGGAGGCCAGCAGTGTAGAGGCCAGCGGTGTGGAGGCCAGCAGTGTGGAGGCCAGCAGTGTGGAGGCCAGCAGTGTGGAGGCCAGCGGTGTGGAGGCCAGCGGTGTGGAGGCCAGCAGTGTGGAGGCCAGCGGTGTGGAGGCCAGCAGTGTGGAGGCCAGCAGTGTGGAGGCCAGCGGTGTGGAGGCCAGCGGTGTGGAGGCCAGCAGTGTGGAGGCCAGCAGTGTGGAGGCCAGCAGTGTGGGAGCCAGCAGTGTGGAGGCCAGCAGTGTGGAGGCCAGCAGTGTGGAGGCCAGCAGTGTGGAGGCCAGCAGTGTGGAGGCCAGCGGTGTGGAGGCCAGCAGTGTGGAGGTCAGCAGTGTGGAGGCCAGCAGTGTGGAGGCCAGCGGTGTGAAGGCCAGCAGTGTGGAGGCCAGCAGTGTGGAGGCCAGTGGTGTGGAGGCCAGCGGTGTGGAGGCCAGCGGTGTGGAGGCCAGCAGTGTGGAGGCCAGCAGTGTGGAGGCCAGCAGTGTGGAGGCCAGCAGTGTGGAGGCCAGCAGTGTGGAGGCCAGCGGTGTGGAGGCCAGCAGTGTGGAGGCCAGAGGTGTGGAGGCCAGCGGTGTGGAGGCCAGCGGTGTGGAGGCCAGCGGTGTGGAGGCCAGCAGTGTGGAGGCCAGCAGTGTGGAGGCCAGCGGTGTGGAGGCCAGCAGTGTGGAGGCCAGCAGTGTGGAGGCCAGCAGTGTGGAGGCCAGCGGTGTGGAGGCCAGCAGTGTGGAGGCCAGCAGTGTGGAGGCCAGTGGTGTGGAGGCCAGCGGTGTGGAGGCCAGCGGTGTGGAGGCCAGCAGTGTGGAGGCCAGCAGTGTGGAGGCCAGCAGTGTGGAGGCCAGCAGTGTGGAGGCCAGCAGTGTGGAGGCCAGCAGTGTGGAGGCCAGCGGTGTGGAGGCCAGCGGTGTGGAGACCAGCGGTGTGGAGGCCAGCGGTGTGGAGGCCAGCGGTGTGGAGGCCAGCAGTGTGGAGGCCAGCAGTGTGGAGGCCAGCGGTGTGGAGGCCAGCGGTGTGGAGGCCAGCGGTGTGGAGGCCAGCAGTGTGGAGGCCAGCAGTGTGGAGGCCAGCAGTGTGGAGGCCAGCAGTGTGGAGGCCAGCGGTGTGGAGGCCAGCAGTGTGGAGGCCAGCAGTGTGGAGGCCAGCGGTGTGGAGGCCAGCAGTGTGGAGGCCAGCAGTGTGGAGGCCAGCAGTGTGGAGGCCAGCAGTGTGGAGGCCAGCAGTGTTGAGGCCAGCAGTGTGGAGGCCAGCAGTGTGGAGGCCAGCGGTGTGGAGGCCAGCAGTGTGGAGGCCAGCAGTGTGGAGGCCAGCAGTGTGGAGGCCAGCGGTGTGGAGGCCAGCGGTGTGGAGGCCAGCAGTGTGGAGGCCAGCAGTGTGTGTCTGCGCCAGAGCAGAGGAGGGCAGGCAGTGTGGTGCTTGGCTTGGCCCGAGCGGGTCCGCGCCTTAAGAATGTTATACATATAAACACCACAAAGATCTATTGTGCCTCCAGAGCCGAGCCTTTATCCCGAGGGCCACCTTCCCCGCCCTTTGAGGTTGACCTTCGACCCTTTTAGAACACGGTGGGTGTAAGGCCGGTCCAGGGAGGGGCGGTCCAGGCTGTAACGTTGATCGCGAAATTAAAGACTAGTTATAATAGTGAGTGTTACTGCGATGGAACCAGCTGAGGAGTTTGTTGAGGCATTAGGTAACTGGGGCCCATGTTGACGGCGTTAGGCTCGCCCTCGAGGGTCACACTCGGCAGCCCCCGAGTCACACTCCACACTCACACCAAGACACCGGGTATTGAAGGCTTGGAAATGTGAGAATTTGCCCGTGATCGGGGGAATAATTTGTGATGCTCACTATCTGGCAATGTCCCCCGTTGGCTGCCTGGCTGGATGGCTACGAGATGTGCAGAGGCTGAGGCCCCGCGTTCGTTACCCTACGCTCCGACTCGGGCTTTCGCTTCCGCCGCAGATCCGTAACTGCCTCTATTCCACACCTTTTCATACTGACCGACGGAGAGAAGTGAAAAGCTCGAGGAGCCTTACTGCGAGCGGGGCATGGAGCAGCGCGTGGGGGTGTAGTGGCTACATTCCAGGTGTTTGGTGGAGGAGCGCACTGGGACTCTCCAGGCTCCAGTGCCCCTCCACCCCTCCCTCGCCCCCCCAACACGCCCCCTCCACCGACCCCCCGCTGGCTCGCCTCCTCCACTAGGGGTATCAAATCACAGTCTTTATTTCTCGTTATTTTATAAAGTTCACTGATATATGGGTGGACTGAGAGAGGGGATAGTCCATGATGAGGATGTGAAGATTGATGAGAGATGAGTGAGGTGAGTGTTGTGAGGGAGGCGAGGCAGTGTGAGGGCTGACCATGGGGTGGGCAGCCAGCTAGAAGGCAGCACCACCACCACCACCACCCCGCCAACTGGTAACCCTCGTCCCTCTCTCCTCTTGCGGCTCCGGTAATCGCCGAAAAAACCCATAGATAATATAGCCACACGAGCGGAGAGGACACACACCGGAAGGGACACAAGTGTCCCCACCAGTGTCCCAATAGAGATGACACGAGAGGCGCAGATATCACCCCAGGTTTTTTTTTTCTATTCCCCGGAGGAAGAGAGGCGTTGGAGGAGTCGTATGCGCGACCAGCCGCAGCCGGACTCATGCTCGTACGATAATCACCATTCCCGACACGTCAACGGTAACTACAGATGTAGTCCGGACTGTGGCGAGGCAATCCGCTGTGACGAGGAGCCGGATGGCTGCTATAGAGCCGGATAACTTGGCACGGGGCGTCCCCTGTGAGGAGTGAGGTAGCCTGGTGCGATACCCCGGCCACTGGAGGAGCCGAGTTAGCGTGGTGGCGAGGCGGTGTGAGGAGTGAGGCGAGCAGTGAGGGTCAGTAAGGATCCCGGGCGCTCCTTGTGGGCTGGTCGGTGTTATCATGCGGCGAGGGCCCCCTGGCCCCCAGTACCCCGCTGCTGGGAGGGCACTGGCATTCCTTGCCCCGGGCCCCGGCCACCTTCTCAAGCTGGGGATGCCAGCCACCCTGCTGCCCTCTTCCCTGCCGCCCTGCTGCCCTCTTCCCTCCTGCCCTCTTCCCTGCTGCCCTGCTGCCTTCTTCCCTGCTGCCCTCTTCCCTGCTGCCCTCTTCCCTGCTGCCCTCTTCCCTGTTGCCCTCTACCCTGCTGCCTTCTTCCTGCTGCCCTGCTGCCCTCTTCCCTCCTGCCCTCTTCTCTGCTGCCCTCTTCCCTGCTGCCTTCTTCACTGCTGCCCTCTTCCCAGCCACCCTGCTGCCCTCTACCCTGCTGCCCTCTTCCCTGCTGCCCTCTTCCCTGCTGCCCTCTTCCCTGCTGCCCTCTTCCCTGCTGCCCTCTTCCCTGTTGCCCTCTACCCTGCTGCCCTCTTCCCTGCTGCCCTGCTGCCCTCTTCCCTCCTGCCCTCTTCTCTGCTGCCCTCTTCCTTGCTGCCCTCTACCCTGCTGCCCTCTTCCCTGCTGCCCTCTTCCCTGCTGCCCTCTTCCCTGCTGCCCTCTCCCCTCCTGCCCTCTTCCCTGCTACCCTCTTCCCTCCTGCCCTCTTCCCTGCTGCCCTCTTCCCTGCTGCCCTCTTCCCTGCTGCCCTCTTCCCTGCTGCCCTCTTCCCTGCTGCCCTCTACCCTGCTGCCCTCTTCCCTGCTGCCCTCTTCCCTGCTGCCCTCTTCCCTGCTGCCCTCTTCCCTGCTGCCCTCTTCCCTGCTGCCCTCTTCCCTGCTGCCCTCTTCCCTGCTGCCCTCTACCCTGCTGCCCTCTTCCCTGCTGCCCTCTTCCCTGCTGCCCTCTTCCCTGCTGCCCTCTTCCCCAGCCACCCTGCCGTCTTCCCTAGTCACCCTGCCGTCCTCCCCTAGTCACCCTGCCGTCCTCCCCTAGCCACCCTGCCGTCCTCCCCTAGTCACCCTGCCGTCTTCCCTAGTCACCCTGCCGTCCTCCCCTAGTCACCCTGCCGTCCTCCCCTAGCCACCCTGCCGTCCTCCCTAGTCACCCTGCCGTCTTCCCTAGTCACCCTGCCGTCCTCCCCTAGTCACCCTGCCGTCCTCCCCTAGCCACCCTGCCGTCCTCCCCTAGTCACCCTGCCGTCTTCCCTAGTCACCCTGCCGTCTTCCCTAGTCACCCTGCCGTCCTCCCCTAGCCACCCTGCTGTCCCCCCTAGTCACCCTGCCGTCCCCCCTAGTCACCCTGCCGTCCCCCCTAGTCACCCTGCCGTCCCCCCTAGTCACCCTGCCGTCCCCCCTAGTCACCCTGCCGTCCCCCCTAGTCACCCTGCCGTCCCCCCTAGTCACCCTGCCGTCCCCCCTAGTCACCCTGCCGTCCCCCCTAGCCACCCTGCCGTCCCCCCTAGTCACCCTGCCGTCCCCCCTAGTCACCCTGCCGTCCCCCTAGCCACCCTGCCGTCCCCCTAGCCACCCTGCCGTCCCCCCTAGCCACCCTGCCGTCTTCCCTAGTCACCCTGCCGTCTTCCCTAGTCACCCTGCCGTCCCCCCTAGCCACCCTGCCGTCCCCCCTAGCCACCCTACCGTCCCCCTAGCCACCCTGCCGTCCCCCCTAGCCACCCTACCGTCCCCCTAGCCACCCTACCGTCCCCCTAGCCACCCTGCCGTCCCCCCTAGCCACCCTACCGCCCCCCCTAGCCACCCTGCCGTCCCCCCTAGCCACCCTACCGTCCCCCCTAGCCACCCTGCCGTCCCCCCTAGCCACCCTACCGTCCCCCCTAGCCACCCTGCCGTCCCTCCTAGCCACCCTGCCGTCCCCCCTAGCCACCCTACCGTCCCCCCTAGCCACCCTGCCGTCCCCCTAGCCACCCTACCGTCCCCCCTAGCCACCCTGCCGTCCCCCCTAGCCACCCTGCCGTCCCTCCTAGCCACCCTACCGTCCCCCCAGCCACCCTACCGTCCCCCTAGCCACCCTACCGTCCCCCCTAGCCACCCTGCCGTCCCCCCTAGCCACCCTGCCGTCCCCCCTAGCCACCCTGCCGTCCCCCCTAGCCACCCTGCCGTCCCCCCTAACCACCCTGCCGTCCCCCCTAGCCACCCTACCGTCCCCCCTAGCCACCCTGCCGTCCCTCCTAGCCACCCTGCCGTCCCTCCTAGCCACCCTACCGTCCCCCCTAGCCACCCTGCCGTCCCCCCTAGCCACCCTGCCGTCCCTCCTAGCCACCCTGCCGTCCCTCCTAGCCACCCTGGGGTCGAGGCTGGGGGTCGTAGCTCCCGGGTAACTGGCTGACGGACATGGGAGCTGGTGATGGTCTATATGGATATAAACATTGTATAGGTATATGGATAGTTTATAGGAGGATAATCAGGAATAGTAAGGAGGGGGGGTAGGGGAGGCTGGTGGTGAGGACGTGTAGGGGACCCAGGAAGACTCGTCCTCCAGCAAGGGGGACCCAGGAAGACTCGTCCTCCAGCAAGGGGGACCCAGTAAGACTCGTCCTCCAGCAAGGGGACCCAGGAAGACTCGTCCTCCAGCAAGGGGACCCAGGAAGACTCGTCCTCCAGCAAGAGGGACCCAGGAAGACTCGTCCTCCAGCAAGGGGGACCCAGGAAGACTCGTCCTCCAGCAAGGAGGACCCAGGAAGACTCGTCCTCCAGCAAGGGGGACCCAGGAAGACTCGTCCTCCAGCAAGGGGGACCCCAGGAAGACTCGTCCTCCAGCAAGGGGGACCCAGGAAGACTCGTCCTCCAGCAAGGGGGACCCAGGAAGACTCGTCCTCCAGCAAGGGGGACCCAGGAAGACTCGTCCTCCAGCAAGGGGGACCCAGGAAGACTCGTCCTCCAGCAAGGGGACCCAGGAAGACTCGTCCTCCAGCAAGGGGGACCCAGGAAGACTCGTCCTCCAGCAAGGGGACCCAGGAAGACTCGTCCTCCAGCAAGGGGGACCCAGGAAGACTCGTCCTCCAGCAAGGGGGACCCAGGAAGACTCGTCCTCCAGCAAGGGGGACCCAGGAAGACTCGTCCTCCAGCAAGGGGGACCCAGGAAGACTCGTCCTCCAGCAAGGGGACCCAGGAAGACTCGTCCTCCAGCAAGGGGGACCCAGGAAGACTCGTCCTCCAGCAAGGGGACCCAGGAAGACTCGTCCTCCAGCAAGGGGGACCCAGGAAGACTCGTCCTCCAGCAAGGGGGACCCAGGAAGACTCGTCCTCCAGCAAGGGGGACCCAGGAAGACTCGTCCTCCAGCAAGGGGGACCCAGGAAGACTCGTCCTCCAGCAAGGGGGACCCAGGAAGACTCGTCCTCCAGCAAGGGGGACCCAGGAAGACTCGTCCTCCAGCAAGGGGGACCCAGGAAGACTCGTCCTCCAGCAAGGGGGACCCCAGGAAGACTCGTCCTCCAGCAAGGGGACCCAGGAAGACTCGTCCTCCAGCAAGGGGGACCCAGGAAGACTCGTCCTCCAGCAAGGGGGACCCAGGAAGACTCGTCCTCCAGCAAGGGGGACCCAGGAAGACTCGTCCTCCAGCAAGGGGACCCAGGAAGACTCGTCCTCCAGCAAGGGGGACCCAGGAAGACTCGTCCTCCAGCAAGGGGACCCAGGAAGACTCGTCCTCCAGCAAGGGGGACCCAGGAAGACTCGTCCTCCAGCAAGGGGGACCCAGGAAGACTCGTCCTCCAGCAAGGGGGACCCAGGAAGACTCGTCCTCCAGCAAGGGGGACCCAGGAAGACTCGTCCTCCAGCAAGGGGACCCAGGAAGACTCGTCCTCCAGCAAGGGGGACCCAGAAGACTCGTCCTCCAGCAAGGGGACCCAGGAAGACTCGTCCTCCAGCAAGGGGGACCCAGGAAGACTCGTCCTCCAGCAAGGGGGACCCAGGAAGACTCGTCCTCCAGCAAGGGGGCCCAGGAAGACTCGTCCTCCAGCAAGGGGGACCCAGGAAGACTCGTCCTCCAGTAAGGGGGACCCAAGAAGACTCCTCCTCCAGCAAGGGGGACCCAGTAAGACTCGTCCTCCAGCAAGGGGGATCCAGGAAGACTCGTCCTCCAGCAAGGGGGACCCAGTAAGACTCGTCCTCCAGCAAGGGGGACCCAGGAAGACTCGTCCTCCAGCAAGGGGGACCCAGTAAGACTCGTCCTCCAGCAAGGGGGACCCAAGAAGACTCGTCCTCCAGCAAGGGGGACCCAAGAAGACTCGTCCTCCAGCAAGGGGGACCCAAGAAGACTCGTCCTCCAGCAAGGGGGACCCAGGAAGACTCGTCCTCCAGCAAGGGGGACCCAAGAAGACTCGTCCTCCAGCAAGGGGGACCCAAGAAGACTCGTCCTCCAGCAAGGGGGACCCAAGAAGACTCGTCCTCCAGCAAGGGGGACCCAGGAAGACTCGTCCTCCAGCAAGGGGGACCCAGTAAGACTCGTCCTCCAGCAAGCATTAGAAATATTGCTGGATGTATTTAAGAGGCACCAATCAGAGCATAACGTTCAGCTCGCTGTACGCCGGCCAATCAGAGCATAACGTTCAACTCGCTGTACGCCAGCCAATCAGAGCATAACGTTCATCTCGCTGTACGCCGGCCAATCAGAACATAACGTTAAGCTCGCTGTACGCCGGCCAATCAGAGCATAACGTTAAGCTCGCTGTACGCCAGCCAATCAGAGCATAACGTTCAGCTCGCTGTACGCCGGCCAATCAGAGCATAACGTTAAGCTCGCTGTAAGCCGGCCAATCAGAGCATAACGTTCAGCTCGCTGTACGCCGGCCAATCAGAGCATAACGTTCATCTCGCTGTACGCCAGCCAATCAGAGCATAACGTTCATCTCGCTGTACGCCGGCCAATCAGAGCATAACGTTAAGCTCGCTGTAGCCAGCCAATCAGAGCGTAACGTTCATCTCGCTGTACGCGGCCAATCAGAACATAACGTTAAGCTCGCTGTACGCCGGCCAATCAGAGCATAACGTTAAGCTCGCTGTACGCCAGCCAATCAGAGCATACGTTCAGCTCGCTGTACGCCGGCCAATCAGAGCATAACGTTAAGCTCGCTGTAAGCCGGCCAATCAGAGCATAACGTTCAGCTCGCTGTAAGCCGGCCAATCAGAGCATAACGTTCATCTCGCTGTACGCCGGCCAATCAGAGCATAACGTTCATCTCGCTGTACGCCGGCTAATCAGAGCATAACGTTCAGCTCGCTGTACGCCGGCCAATCAGAGCATAACGTTCAGCTCGCTGGAAGCCGGCCAATCAGAGCATAACGTTCATCTCGCTGTACGCCGGCCAATCAGAGCATAACGTTCATCTCGCTGTACGCGGGCCAATCAGAGCATAACGTTCAGCTCGCTGTACGCCGGCCAATCAGAGCATAACGTTCAGCTCGCTGTAAGCCGGCCAATCAGAGCATAAAGTTAAGCTCGCTGTACGCCGGCCAATCAGAGCATAACGTTCAGCTCGCTGTACGCCGGCCAATCAGGGCATAACGTTCAGCTCGCTGTAGCCGGCCAATCAGAGCATAACGTTCAGCTCGCTGTACGCCGGCCAATCAGAGCATAACGTTCAGCTCGCTGTACGCCAGCCAATCAGAGCATAACGTTCAGCTCGCTGTACGCCGGCCAATCATAGCATAACCTTGAGCTCGCTGTAAGCCGGCCAATCAGAGCATAACCTTGAGCTCGCTGTAAGCCGGCCAATCAGAGCATAACCTTGAGCTCGCTGTAAGCCGGCCAATCAGAGCATAACCTTGAGCTCGCTGTAAGCCGGCCAATCAGAGCATAACCTTGAGCTCGCTGTAAGCCGGCCAATCAGAGCATAACCTTGAGC